CGTGATGTGGTACCATTTCGTAGGCTTCACAGTGATGACTTGGGACCATTTGTTCGAAGCGAATGCGAAAATACCCATTTACTAGCCATATCCGATCTATTCTATAAATATCTGTTTGTAAGGGCAGTTAAAAGCACTAAAGACACAACATTTAAAATAAAGGTTCGAGCTACTTCGGTCTAGATTATATATCCGATCGTGGAACTGGGTTTACCTCAAACTAATTGGAAGAATTTACAGTATTCTTCCAATTAGTTCAACGAGATTCAACACAACAATAACGCCTCGTGGAAATGGACAAGTCGAGCGCGCAAACCAAACTAATCTTAACAATGTACGTACCATGAACGACAACTTAAAGGATTGGGATCTTAACTTGCAATGGAGTGTATACCCTCAAAAGTATAAATATCAGTATTTACACCAATGGGTTCGGTGTTTAACTTCAATCCCATTGACGTTGTCTGACTGCAGCGATAAACGCGGACTTGGAAGTTCAGGATAAGGAGACTGTCGTTGAAAACCGAAACCAAGCTGTCGTCAATATTGCATATGCGACCCGAATGGAAACCACGGTTTGACACTAAACATGGTAACCCTTCTATCCGCTCCACAGGTAGTCTTGTAGTCGTTGAAAACGAACCACCTGCGGCAGGCGAATCACGTAAGCTCGAATCACTTTAGCAAGGACCCTATATCATCATCAAGGTCCTTGCAAATGATAGCTATGTCATCGAAGATACCCCAAGTAAACAGATTACAAGGCGTAAATATTGTTCTGTGTATTCGTCTGACAAAATTAATACTCTAACATCGTTGAGCTGGATGTTTCCGGCGATGTCGAGAATCGAATCGAGGACGTACCGAGGTCGATTCGAATGCTGGATTGGCCGAGCTGTCACGAACCAGTTCTAAAACTTTATCAATGAATCCAAATGGGGTGTCAACTCCTAAGGCGAAAAGCGAGGAGTAGATTGTGCAACGACACGAGTAACGTCAGAGAGCGAAAACGAATATCGCAACGTATAACGATCTAGTTTTAAGCCTGTGCAGTGTGAACAGAAAAAGGAGACAGCTTTAACAAACAAAACTCATATTCTATTACATAATCTTAGCGTATTCCTTTTAATTTGCTCAAAACAGAAATACGAAGCCCTTAATTGATTAGGGTTTCATATCATTTATTTGAATTTAAACGACAGAAGTCACTCAAAAAGCTTGGTGCCCACTCTTTGTCGATTTCTTGTTTTTCGCCTGCACGTATTCGTCGCAGGCAAGGCCAAAATTAGTTTTGATCATTTATACACATTTTCCGACAAAATTTAAAAAATTGTCTTCATGACCTGTGTTTGCACGATTCAATTATTTTCAGTTTTAAGCCGTGCATTTTTTATAGTTAGCATGTATTTTGGCACTTAAAAAAATTATACCAAAACAAGAAAGGAAGCAAACTTCGGCCGGTCGAAGTTTATATACCCTTGCAGTTATTACAAATCGACTACATTTCGATTTCTATGCCTATATTACTAAAAACAATGAAGCTATATCGATTTTGCGTTAATTTTTCCATCGTTTCTATGGCAGCTATATGATAATGTTGTCCGATATTAATTTAAGTAAAACCGTAATTCCGTAATATTTAAATATTTTTCCGATTGTTCCCATGGGAGCTATATGATATAATCGACCGATCCGGCTCGTTCCGACTTATATACTACCTGCAATAGAAAGACAATTTTTCGGAAAGCAGATAGCTTTAAAACTGAGGGACTTATTTGCGTAGAAAAGGACAGACGGACAGACAGACAGACAGACGAACATGGGTAGATCGACTCTGCTGGTGATACTGATCAAGAATATATAGGGTCGGAAATGTCTCCTTGACTGAGTTGCAAATTTTTGACTGAAATTATAATAGCCTCTCCAAGGGTATAAAAATTAAAAACTCGTTTATTTTAAAGTGTTAAATAGGTTTTTCACCTGTTTTCATGCCAATATTACATTTTATTTTGAGTTTTGGTGAAACGATTTTGGTCATTGAGTGCTCATTAATATAGAAGCTCGACAACATTTGAGAAAGGTAGTAACACCCTACAGTGTTAAAATAAAGGTTATAGGAAAAAGACTATCTTAGTCTTACTCTGTAAGGCTCATGTAAGTCGTATATATAATATATATATATAATATATATGATTTAACACTAGGGGAATATAATTTCTAGTTGACCTTCTTGGCACAGAGAAGATACGTGGGTATCAATCTCACCACAAATAAATGGCAAGAACTGTTCTTGTACTACAGGCATAATTGAACATCACATGCGTACATAATTACGAGAGAATGACACATAACTGAGGGACTGCCGTTAATAAAAATTGTAAAAAAAAGCGATCCAACATGGCTCCCTCCCACCTTTTACCTGAGGTAACGCGGACAATTTTAGAAAGATAATTTTTAAAAAGGACCTCTTGTGTCCTGCCACTCAGATAACTTAACTAACCTTTGTGACCTACCATTCAGATAACTTGAGATAACTTCAGATAACTAAGAAAATGAACTAGAAACCCTAACTGGTCGAGTTTCGGAAAAACTTGACTTGTTAGGTTTTCCAGTTGATCTTCTTAGATGGATCTCAAGTTATCTGAATGGTAGGTCACAAAGGTTTTAAAAATTCAATTCCTAAAATTCTCCGTGTTACCTCCGGTGTCCCACAAGGGAGCCATCTGGGTCCGTTACTTTTTACACTATTTATTAACGATCTTCCATTAATTATAAGTCATTCTCGCATACTTATGTACGCAGATGATGTTAAGTTATGCCTGCAATATAAGGATATTTCCTGCCATTTAGACTTACAATCCGATCTAGATAATTTTCAAAACTGGTGCCGAAATAATTTACTAAAACGGTTACTTTTAACGGTTCCAAGTGCAAGCTGATGACTTTTTATCGGGCCAATCCGATATACGCGACTTACACGTTAAATGGCAGCTCTTTGGATAAAATAACTCTTGCAAACGATCTTGGCGTTATCTTGGACCCTAAACTAAAATTTTCCTATCACATTTCGTCCATGGTTAATAAAGCCAGAGGAGTGCTTGGATTTATTAAAAGGTGGTCAAAAGAATTTGATGATCCTTATTTGACTAAAACTTTATTTATTTCCTTCCTTCTATTCTAGTAGACTTCAGTTGATTAATTTACCCTCCCTAGCTAACCGTAGAACGATGCTTGGTATTATCTTTATTTATAACCTTATACATGGTGATATTGACTGCCCCGACTTGGTAAGTCGGCTAAACTTTTCTGTGCCAAGTAGATTAACTAGAAATTATATTCCCCTAATTTTAAATCATTGTACTACTAACTATGCCTTGCATGAGCCTTTCAGAGTATTATGTTCTGACTATAATAGACTTTTTCCTGTAATCTCAAATCTTGACTCTCTGCCGCTCCTAAAACGAGTAATACTTGCCCTTTGGCACAAGATTGATCTTACTATTACTTTTTTCCCCGGACCTTTACCTATATTTTCTTATCTCGCGTCTATCTTCTCGTGAATCGTGCCGTACGATACACGGCTGCGCCTCTCGGTCGGTTGGGCGGGTAAGTGAGCCGTGGGACTCCGTGCGAAAAAAAAAACTTCGTTTTTCAAATATGCAGTATGACGTCAATAGATATTTATGGTCGATAGATATTTATATATATATTGGTCTATAAAGACATTGTGTGTCGATAGATATTGACCATCAATTCCTTAAACCATGTACATCTTTGTGGGATTTACAGTGGTTGCTTTATATATAAGTCGGAACGGCCGGGATCGGCCGACTATATCCTATAGCTGCCATATAACTTAACGATCGGAAATGCCATAACTTTGGTTTTTGTTAAGTTAGGAAGTTGGGATTTTCTATGAGTTTTTTTTGGCCAATCAATCCGACATTTCAAAATTTCATAAGGATCAGCCGACTATATTCTATAGCTGCTATATAACTGAACGATTGGAAATGCCATAACTTTGGTGTTTTTAAAGTTAGGAAGTTGGGATTTTTATAAGTGTTAAGAATGCATCATATGAATAATTTTGGAGAATATAATTTACAGAATATTCTGCAAGGGTATTTCAACTTCGGCTCCGCCCGAAGTTAGCTTTCCTTTCTTGTTATAATAATTATTTGCATGGAAAAATTGTGTGTGGACTGAGAAGAGGAATCTCACTAAGTTGTGTGCTAATCTCACTTGTTTTGTGCTAGCCCTTCTAATTGCGCTTTCCCCGTACAAAATGTTTGGAGCTTGTTAATATTCTGTTAAACATAAAAGTTTTTGTTAGCGACGAGTTTTTTTTACGTCTATGTTGGCCGTGATTCAATTAGTTTGGGTTATACAACTTCTCCTTTCGCCGATAACGCGCGAAAGATAAAATTATATACTTGAATTATTATTTAATTACTGTGCTGTAAAATTAAAATTTAACTTTAAATTTAACTGCAAAATTAAAATGAAATATCCAAAACCATTCACAACATAATTCACATCGGCGCAACGTTAGGCAGATACAACTAAAACTTAAAAATAAACAAAATTAAGACAAGCAAATTACACCACTAAAACATTTATTTAATAAAAGTTTTTTTATTATTCATACTATATATAGTCGTTATCTATCGTCCCCTACATAAGCCACTGCCACAAAAAAATTTCCTTTTTTATCAGTAAAAACAGGTATCGACAATTTCCTGATTTTCAGAAGAGTTTCATATGATTGTTTTAGAAAAAATCGACTTTAAGCCAATTTTTAGGGCATAATGTCTGTACCTGTAAATAAATCTTTTAATAGTTTTTTTAAATCAACCTTTTAAACTTCACTTTTTCAGGTTTTGCCGGAAAATGTTAGTAATCACAGGTTTTCTAACTCGTTTTGTTTGATATCAACTAACCTGCAACAAAAATTAATTTTAGATTTTACTCAAAAAATTGTAAACACAAACTATACACACCTTTAGAATGCAATGTTATGTGATGACAATATATTATCAATAAGCAAAGTAACTGCATATATGTGCATTACAATGGTATTTTATTTTATTATATATTAAAGTGGTCGACAATGTCCTGAAAAAGGGTGTTGCTAAACCGTATAGTAAATGTTTGCCATCTCAATAAGATTTCACGAAGGCAATACATTTTCACCTATTAACGACACAGTGCACAATCAAACAAGATTCCAATCTCTTTTATTTTAAAATATTTAATATATATCAATTTGACGATACAATTCGATTAAATTTTAGTGTTACATCATTTAAAAGTAAAAATTTGTTACCGATGTCGCGATGTGCTTATCAAACCAATGATTTGTCTTTTGAAACTGGGGAAGGAATGCCTTGGAATCCTCCCCTTTCTGTTCCAGCCCTGTACATCCATAGCATGGAAATAAGAGACTGGAATATACATTTCCTCCCCCGAATATATTGTACATACTGACGTATTAAATGTATAGTTTAAATCGTTCTAAAATATCATGAAGTAGAAATTTTATTTAATTTAAACACAATGTGCAATTTTTTGTTAAGTCAAATTTTGAAAATCAAAATGTTAAAAAAAATATATGTACATATATACAGAATATAAATTCATCTCGCAAAAATTATGGAATTTTCTGTGTGTTGCCCGTTCATTTATGGTTATTCTATTCAATTATATGCATCTTAAAATAACTTTTAACAAGTAATACAACTCGAAATGAAATTCCGAAAGATAATTACTTTGTTTGGGTTTTTTAAGGTCTTTGGAACTTTTATACATATTTAGAGAAAGTTTTTTATACCGAATTATATAAAATATTGGCGCATGCGCAATATATATAGGATAAACCATAAAATAATTCCTATTTGTTGGTTCTAGTTCTATAACAATATGACGACTAAATCAATTAGTTTCCACAGAAAATATGAAAATCGACATAGGTTTGTTGTTTTTTAACATTATAAAAACTAAGCTAACCAATTTTTAAGAAATTGGTTTTATCTAAACATATAGCCTCCGTCACCGAGGTACATATATGTTTATGCTTTAGCCGCCATAGAAACTAACTGTTTTTATTTTCTGCTTTTGAAGAAATTTACAATTTATAATAAAATGTTTTTATACCATTTTTTGAGAAATACCTTCTGCCATACTGGCGTACGATTCTGTGCGGTACAAGTTATCGACAAACAACTTTCCAACAAGCCTAAAATTTCTTATTAGTTGATCCCAAAAATTGACTAAAACCCTATTTAACTTCATGTTTGCACATCATTATTTTTCTATGCCAAACCTATCTACAAAAAATTACGGAGCTTTCCCTTAAGGGGGTATATACCTTTTTTTGTCGAAAAAAATAGGAAAGTTTGAATTTTTTTATGTATGTAACTATTATTTTTATCAAATGAATGTTTATATTTTCTGAAAGTTTAGATTGTTGACAATGTTTATGCAAAAATGTTTGAAAAAATATTTAATAGTTTTTAAGGTGTGGCTGTTTCCCTTAAACGCCTTTTTTTTAAAGAGCCTTGCGGTGATAATTCCCCAGGACAAATGGGTCAACTGATACCGAAAAAATATTTCATTAGTTTAAAGTAGTATCCTGTACTTGAACGAACGTTTTAAAAAAAATTTTTTTTTTGTTCATACGGGAACGTTTAATGCAAAAAATGACGTTTTTGGACGCGAAAATTCTTACAAAATAATCTATTTCGGCGAAATAAAAATTTTTACATGACAAAACGATCGTTCAAGTACTAATAAAATTCATTACGAACATTTAAAAATAAATTTGAAGAAAATCGGTTCAGTAGTTTTTCGCCAATCCATATCACCGCAAAGTCATTTTTAAACGAGGACGGAAGCTAACTTCGGCAAGCCGAAGTTTTAATACCCTTGCAGACTTTGACGAAATTGCTAAAAGTGAAAAAGTAGGGAAAGGAATAAGGTATAAATAAGTAAACTAGATTTGCATCGTTTCAAGTCAATTGCTTTTATACTGCAAAAATGTCATATACAAATAGAAAAAAAGGGATACTTTCGCAGCCTTTAACAATTTTTCCTATCTCCTTTAAGATATAGACTTCCGAGCGGCAAGCGCTTTTACCCTAATCAAGATATGCGTAAATAAATAAGAATTGGAAAATTTTATGTTAGTAGCTTACACACTGCGCGAAATATTCTGATAATCATCAAATTTGGACCGATTTCACCCTATTGTTCCTATGGGAGCTATAGGATATAGACGTCCGATCGGCACGCGCTTTCACCTTGATCAATGTATGCATAAAAAATAGGATTTGGAAAGATTCATGTCAATAGCTTGTATACTGCGTGAAATATCCTAAAAATCATTAAATTTTAACCGATTTTACCCTTTTGTTCCTATGGGAGCTATAGGATATAGACGTCCGATCGTCACGCGCTTTTACTCTGATCAAGGTACGCATAAAAAAATAAGATTTGGAAAGATTTATGTCAATAGCTTTTACACTGCGCGAAATATCTTCCATTCTTGCAAGTTATATCCGATTGTTCCTATGGGAGCTATAGGATATAGACATCCGATCGGGGCGGTTTTCAAACTTGATCTGCGTACACTTGTTTTAGGACGACTGTGAAAGTTTCAGATCGCTAGCTTTTAAACTGAGCTCGCAAACGGTATTGAAACAGACGGACAGACGGACAGACGGACGGACGGACAGACGGACAGACGGACAGACGGACAGACGGACATGGCTATATTGACTGCCCTATTGATCCTGATCAAGAATATATATACTTTATAGGGTCGGAAACGTCTCCTTCACTGCGTTACAAACTTCTGACCAAAATTATAATACCCTCTGCAAGGGTATAAAAAAACCTTTTCGAGATATTCGCGTTTAAAGTTTCAAGTTTGGGTTTGGGCGGGGACGAGGCGCGCGGCTAGGAGCGCTGTAACTTTTTTTCTACAGCTCAAATCTCTATGAAAATTTTGGGAAATATTCTCAAGAAGTTGTTCTTTAAGATAAAGCAAAAAAAAAATTTCGATTTTTTGAAAATGAAAAAGGTATATACCCCCTTAACTCGATGACGCAATAAGTCGACTGCAGTGCTGCTGGGACCTAAGTAATTTTTCAAGCTCAGCTTAATGCCATTTCCTCGCTGATATACATTTCTTAGTTTTTTTGTAACCAAATATTGACCGTAGTAGTGTTATACTATATAAATAGCACCGCTATTATTATTATTCATTATTACTATTACATACTTTTTTGTAATATGGGGGAGCCAAAATAACAAGGAGTGGTTCAAAGACTACTCAATAACATCCGAACACGGAATAATTTCAATTTTTTTCACAGCTCTTCCGAAAAATGTTGTAAATGTTTTAATGCTATAATTTTTGTAACATCCATCAAATAAATTATTTGAAAAGCCTGTGCAAGCTTCCTGTCGTTATAATCCAATCACGCAGAACTGACGTTTATACTTGTACCTTGTTTTAATTTGCAAATTAAAACAAAAGAAATCTGTGAAAACAACAGCAGAACTTACAAAAATTATTATAGGCATTATAATTTTTTGCTGTTAGGGGTTAAATGAACACGATAGTGAAGAAATCGGCCTAAAATTGAGTAGAAATCGAAAAAAAACAGCTGCAACATCCTCGCGCCAATATACTCATTAAGTTGAATATATTTCGCTGTCCTATCAATTTAAAGAAATAAGATAGCTGTGTAAAAAATCAATGAACCGCTTTAAATTTTGATGTCATTCTGGAATAATCGGATTTCGTATTTATCGATCAAAAACAGCTTCATTTAATTGAAATATAATAAAGTTTTCTAAGTCAAGGTACATTGATGGTTATGGAACAACAAACTTAATAAGATGTTAACTTTATTAAAAGAAACAAGAAAGGAATGGTAACTTCGGGCGGCAGCTATAGGATATAGTCGGCCAATCCTTATGATTTGGTAGGTCGGATTAATTGGCCGAAAATAAAACCCATTGAAAGTCCTAACTTCCTATCTTTAAAAACACCAAAGTTATTGCGTTTCCGATCGTTCAGTTTAATGGCAGCTATAGGATATGGTCGGCCGATCCGACTTATATACTGCTTGCAAAGGAACAAAGGGTGTGTGCCAAGTTGCAATTCGATATTTTTAAAACAGACAACCGGACAGACGGACATGCTTATATTAACTCAGAACGCGATCCTAATCAAGAATATATATACTTTATAGGGTTGGAGATGTCTCCTTAATATTTAAATATTACGGTTTTAATTAAATTAAAATCGGAAGCCAACTTCGGCAAGCCGAAGTTTATATATCCTTACAGTTATTACAAATCCAGTACATCTCGATTTCTATGCCTATATTACTAAAACAATTAAGCTATGTCGATTTTGCGCTGCATTTTGCCATCGCTTCTATGGCAACTATATGATATTGTTGTCCGATTTGAATACATGGACATGGCTAGATCGACTCTCCTGGTGAAACTGATCAAGAATATATATATTTTATAGGGTCGGAAATATCTCCTTCATTGCGTTGCAAACTTTTGACTGAAATTATAATACCCTCTACAAGGGTAGAACTTTGTTGTTTTCAATTTTTTTTTACTCTTTGGGATTTAAATATTATAGAATTACGGTTTTAATGAATTTTTAATGAAATTAAAATCGGACAACAATATCATATAGCTGCCATAAAGACGATGGCAAAATGCAGCGCAAAATCGACATATGTAGTAGCTTCATTGTTTTTAGTAATATAAGCATAGAAATGGAAATATAGTGGATTGGTAATAACTGTAAGGGTACATAAACTTCGGCTTGCTTCCTTTCTTGTTTCACTTTACATTTGTCACTTAACTACTTTTGTCTTCCACTAGTACCCAACCGATTCCCTATTAAAAATCGACCGTCTGGTGGGTTGCATTTGATAAATCATAAAGTCTCGGCTTAAGAGAATTATTGTTGGTGGTGAATGTATCATGCCAAGTAGGTTGTAAGGCCACTTTTAGGTTGATGAAGAATAATACACGCGATTGTCGTATTGCTGTCGGACGCGTTGCCAGACCGTCAAGACGCAGTGCTTTTCGTAATGCACAGCTGATTGTCGATTGTAAAGCCTAGTACTCAGATCGACGAAAACTGTCCGCCAGTCATGAGAGAGAGCGAGAGACAAACAGCTGGCGTTCACTTTTCGACAGTCTTTTTTTCACCTCGGTACTCAGATTGGCGAAAAAAATACCAGAAAATTTCATTGCGTTGCAACTTTGGGTGAACCCTAGCGAAAAGAATACAAAATTTAATCTTTTGGCGTGCGCTTCTCACTGAACATTTTAAAAAATGCATCTTCGTCTTTCAAAAACGCAGGTCCAGTAAACAATATTGACTGTATGATTTTGTCGACGTCACAACTTCTTGATACAATAT